AAAAAAAAAAAGGTCCTATGAGTAATCCAGAATGTACTCCACACGCTCTATTTTTTGAAGTAGGCAGTGTCGGGTTAGACGAGGGAAAAGATAATTCCTGTGAAGAATCCTGCTTGGCTGGGCACTTCTTCCGCCCTCTCCTCCCCCACCCCCATGTCGTCGAGAAGACAAGAGCAGTGGCTTTGCCTCAATTTCCTTCCCAGCAGTTCCCCAGCCACGCGAAAGCTCGCGCAGTGTCCTCTCTGGCCCTCTACTCAGCCAGGATTGTTGTAAAAGCGAAGGAGGCAGAGATGAGGGGGAACCCTCAGACCCTTGAGGGAATCTCCATCTCCTTCCCACCCGTTCTCTCATCCAGCTCAAGGTCTCCCCAAAGCCCCTCACTTGAGCACAGCTACCCAGTGCCACGGCAGAGTAAAGGGTCCCGTCTCACACCCACTTTGGGCTCCCTCCTAGTGTCCACCTAGTGTAGACGAATCAGAGGCGTGGACTAGAAAGAAGTGATAAAGATTTATCCGAGGGCTTTAGGGTTTGCAGACCGAAGACACAATTCGGCAATACCCAGAGTGTTCCCAAGAAGAAAAATAGGTTGAAGGCTCTTCTCGTAGAAGTTCTTAAGAAAAGTCAGCCCTGCATGCTTAGGCTCTGGGTTGGTCCGAGAAGGTAATGCTCTCGATGACGGGGTGGTCTGGATGATGGATGCCAGGCGGTCTGGGTACCCGAACATGCTTTCCACAGTCCTTCAGGGGCAGTCAGAGGGCTGTCGGGAGGGCTGATGTATATCCAGGCGTTGAGGCAAGACCGGAAAGTTAAAAAGTTGAAGTTCCCAGGTTGGTTAACATAATAGAATTGTTTTCTCACGCCTCAACCTACTTGATTTTAGTAATTCACATGACTATAGTGACTTCATTTTATTTCTTTATTCTGTTCCTCACTGACTTTGGTCCTCTTGGTGACGGGGAAAGAAGTAATTCTGGCTGATCACATCTGAAGGTTAATAATATGCAGGAGTGACACTCGACTCACACGGGGAACCGAGCACAGAGTGGTGACGGTGGTGTGTGTGTGTGTGTGTGTGTGTGTGTGTGTGTGTGTGTAAAAGTTCTTGCTTTTTAGGATTCTCCTTTTGCAACATTTAAGCACGTTTCATGAATTGCCGCGTTCAGAAAGCCCCTCACCACAAAAGGGCGTTCACGGAAAACTTCCACCAGAGGGCGCCAGGCGCCCAGAAACCGAGCGGCTCTGTGCCAGCCGGGTCTTTCCTGACGCGCCAGAGCCAACACCTGGAGGGGCTGGCTGTGCAGTCCTGTCCCTTCAAGCCATCCCCCAGCTTCCCTCGTCGCTAAATTATGTTCCCCTCTTTCCTCTACTTCACCTTTTTATTTAGGGCAAAACGAAGTCGATCCTTGTGCGTGTCCGAATGACACCGCTCGTTTTCACCGTAATCCTTTTTTCCCTGTTGCTGCGCAGCAGGCGAAGGTTATTTATGGACACGTCTGCGGCCTTGCTCGTCCCCCCTAGGCCGCCTCTCCTCTCTTAATGGTTTATCACTTTCCACCACGACATAGTGGAAATGCAGAAAATCTTACAAATCTCTGAAAATTCCGTAAGGGAGATGGAAGATTTGCCCTGAGAAGATATAGTCCGATCAGTAAGAGAGATCTCGCTGTGAGGTTTGAAATAACCGCGTTGCCCTTGATACGAAAGAAAATACTGTCGCCCTCCCTGAACCTTACGATAAAAACTTGGGCACTTTTTAAACACACAAAAGCATCCTGAACAGCCAGCCTGGGGGAGCCGCAGCTCCAGGCCAGAGCTGGGGGCTGGGAAGGGTGGGCGTGCCCACTCGGCGCACGAAGCGTTCCTTGGAACCACGCGGCGCGCAGCTTCTCTCTCACGCCTGAAATGGGTGGTTTCCTCCCAGGTGAGGCTCGGAATCCCACCCACGCCCTCTCCTCCAGCCTCCCGAAGAGATGGTTGTACCAACCATGGAGCCCGGTGCCCAAGCTATTATGCAATACGCGAGGGGCAAGGAGAAAGGAGGGAAGACACAAAAAAATCCTGGCGCCCCTCCGGGTCAGCTGGCACGGGAAGGTGCCGGCTCGCCCTCTGTCTCCTCAACCTTCTCCCACGACCAAAGTTTCTCCCCAAGGAAGATTCGTTTACCTTCACCTGTGGCGTCAGACTGAGAAATTTCCAACCACTCCCTTCTGACGCCGGTGTCCAAACCGCTCACCCCTAATGTTTTTAGCCAAGAAAATGATCTCATTGGAAAAAGAAATCCACAAGACTGGGTATCACAAATTAAAGCGAAGTTGGTCCAGCTGCTGGGACCTTTCCCCTTTCTCCTTTATGGAGGGGAGGGCTAAGGGCTTGTCCTTAATTTAAAAATGTTTAATTAAATGTTAGAAATTAAACGAATATTTGTCACTTACTACGTGCCAGACACTGTTCTCATGGAGCTTACACTGTCCTAGCAGCTTATACTATCCCTGCCCTCAAGGAGTTGACATTCCAGTTAGGCGGGGAGCGTAACAGACTTGAGAACTTTGATTTATTTTCTAATTATCTCTCACCCCAACCCAGAATCCTGGGCTCGGCGGAGATGGTAAGGAACTGGAGGTCTGAGTCCCACGGTTCCGGCACGTCGAGCTCGCAGGCACGGCCCTGCGCTTTCAGCACCGAGGACAGCGCCCGCGGTCCGGCCCCGGAGGCTCCCTTCTGGTCCGCGTCAGGCTGCAGCTCCTGCCCCGCGCCCAGCCCGCCTCCCTTCCCGCGGCAACTGC